CCCCAAAACCCCAAAACCCCGAGGATCCGAAAATAGGAAATTTTAAATATGATAAAAGTAGGAATCAAAAATGAATGTTAAGTTAGGTACTTAATGACCTATAATTGAAATTAGTTAATTCTCATTATAATTTTGAACTACTTCTCTATTCAGTCATCATAGTCAGTCTCATCATTTACATTATTATTTCCAACCCTTGCATAGTCAATATTTATACTTATCTCATTATTGTTTGGATACTCACTGTATTAGCTTTAATCATCAGTACACCCACCACTACCATTAGATAATGAATCTTGTCCATCAATTTCAGTTTAAGTTTAACTTTAAATTATCTTTTAATTATTTCTTTGATCTGAATTTTTCTTTTGAAAGTTAAAATCCAAATTCTCCTTTTGCTTAGCTGTTGTGTTTCCAAACAAACTGCCAAACTTATTTTTTAAACTTTGGCTTTAAGATTAGATCTTTTACGATTGGGAACCATCATCACTTTGATCTGTGTCTTCATCGTCTTCTATGCACATTATTTGATCCTAAGTTGGTGGTATATTTTTGCTAATGCTCTGCTAACTATTCTGCATTGATTAATTTCTTGACTATTACATTTGCAATTGCTTTCTCATGTTGTTAGCTGATTATGAGACTTGAGAATACATCATAATTGTATCATCATTTTCATCCTCACAGTCATCATTTCTTTCAGCCTTCAAGTCTTGAATCTAACTTTAATTTGAATTTCTATCATGATGCGTATGTTCTGTTCGGTCTAAATTGTAATAAGTTTCCATCATAAATGCTGTCTCATCACCCATATTATTAGGTCGTTGATGAGGCACTTCAGTCAGAATCTGATCGAAATCATCATCAAAATATTTATAGTCCTTTAATCCAAGCTTCATCAAAGTCTCATATTTGGCTTTTTCATAAGTTTACCTGCTCATTATGATTTATGGGAGTTCAATATAAAGTCCAGTATTGATACAATGCTCTTATAGAATAATAACACAGATGGCATCATAAATATCAATGTCATTTTTATTCATTAGTCTTGCATGCGCTTCAGCCATACGAATAAGAGATTCTAACATTCTGACAGTTTTTCTGTCCTTGCCAAGAGTTGGACAATTTCTCAAATATTAAAAATAGGCTTGAATAATCATCTCTGCTTTATCTGAGCAAACTGGGTCAATATATCTCTACACATATACTATGTACTTAGTCAGCTTCTCAATATTCCATATCTTTTAATTCACTTCTTCCTCTTCATCTTATCTAGTCTATAGTATAATTAAGAATTACTGTTTACCAAGGCAAGTTTAAAATTGGCTTATGCCAAGTCTTATTCTAAAATACACATATCTACTAAGATAAAAACCATGTCAAATCTACTCAGTAGTGAAGTAGCAATTCCTGTGTTTTGATTGTTATCATATCTGTTGTTCCATTTTTAAGTTTTGCTTGGATTTGTTGCAGCTATAATAGTTGCTCTACTATTAATTTTGCATGTGATGCCTCCTTTAGCGATACTTATGGTCTGTTATTCCATTGCTTCATGGATACTTCCTCTATCCTCATGTCTGATCAGTGAAAATTCATCAATGCAGCAGACCCCGAAATCTGCCAAAACTAGGGCACCAGCCTCTAATATATACTCATTTCCGTCTTTAAATAATGCGACAGTTAAACCAGCTGATGTTGTGCCTATACCTGTTGTGACAACCGAGCGCATTGATATTTTTGAAGCAAAAGTTAGTAGTTAAGATTTTCCTGTTCCAGGCTCCCCAACCATCAACATGTGTATTTAACCTCTTATTCTTGGGTCATTTTCGTTTTACTTTTGGACTCCTCCAATCACAGATAAAAGGATTCCCAATTTCTCAGGATTCCTTTCATAAATATGAGGGCATATACTCTCAATTATAACATTCTTCCCTTCAATTGGACTAAATTATGGATAAACAGCTAAATAGCAAATTACTTCCGCTCATAGGTTTTCCAAAATTTCTATATGTCATTGTAGACTTATTTGTTAATTTCTTTTTTGAAGTCTCTTTTATTTAATTGGATAACATTATTAGCCAAAAATGCAATTTCAATTTATGGTCTTTCTGTCCGATTAAATGGAGATCTCCATCTTTGAATAAATATTCCGCTTATCATAACATCATCCCCTGGTTTCGCTCTGTCGACTAATTCATCCTAAATTTTTGAAATGTGGAGGAATCAATATGCTTACTTCAAGAATAATAATAGTTGATCTAGGTATGACACCAGGTTTAAGAGTTTTGTAGACCTCCTATATTTTTATTTCCTAATAGTCCTTATACTAAGCTGTCCCATGTATTGGTACAAAATTTTTTCCGTTACATTGGCCAATGGACACTCCTTGAAACATTGCATTGGCATTTTGATTTCCTTGAGCCATATTTCTTCTTCTTATTGTCATAAGCATATTGAAAAAAGGATTAGGTTTTTTCTCAACTTCTCCTCCGCAAATAGGTGGAAGGAGGAAGTTTGTAAATTCATAAATATCTGATGAAGCTCGATATATTTTGCCACAACTTTTGCAAGCAAAGTCTTTTTTAGTTTCTCTATTTTTTACTAAATTTGTCCTAATGACTGTCCCTTAAATTACCATGAATTTATTCACATGAAATTATCTAAGATTTCTAATGGTGTCTAGAAATATTTCTCTCAGAGGTGGTACATTAATAAGTCTCACATCAACATGCTTCTTTGGATATAAAAATCTAAAAAATTTTGATTCTGTAAAAATTAATTACTATCTGAATGATGGATCTTCGAACTGTATCAGCTTTTATTGAACATTAAAGAACATTTTTTTAAGAAATTTGAGAAATTCCTTTGGATATTCATGAAATCTTGATCCCTCATAAGGAAAATAATATAAAAAATCGAGTAGACTATATATAAACATTAAGGTGAAAAATAAATCTTACTCTACATCGATTTCAAAATGCTAATTAGTCTCTTTATTTGTGATGATCGCCTTTATTTCATTCTAATATTTACCTTCTAAATATGTACAGATCTTGACCATAAGCTCCTTCATTCTCATCTACTCCTCTTCTTCTCTCTATTACCTAATCATCTCCTCCTAGTCTCTTGAAAGCCTTTAACCAGATCATCAAGGTGTTCCATTATTTGACATAAATGTCCCTTAACTCATTTCGAATGGCTACTGATTCTATCATCATTCACTCCTCATTGGAGTTGTCATGCAACTGTCATTCATAATAGTCCCATCTAAATTGTCACTGTCAGCACCAATATCCTAGTCATCAATACAACTTTAGATGTCTGAGATGTCTGGAATATCATCGGTCATTTTTAGAATAAATTATTCTAATAATATATACCTTAAAAAGTGTGCTTTTAAAAATTTTTAATGAAATTCAAGCTATTTTTAATTTTAAAACTCAAATATAGAATTTATAATAATGGTAAAATACACTAATATCTATTAATCCTCAATCAGTAAATTTTATGGTAAAGGGGTTTTGGGGTTTTGGGGTTTTGGGGAGATCGGAAGAGCACA